GTCCTATTGCATTGTTTGCGCTGCATGCCTGGGTCAAGATAGGGCCAAGATTCTCGTAGAATTAAGTGCTGAAAGCGAATACAAAACTGTGAACTAGCGATCGAAAATATCAGGGATTTCGGAAGTTTTACAACGAGGCCGCGTATCTTACGCTGACCGAGTGTGCTTGTTGAACCCCGCCATCGTCGCGTCATTGGTTCCTCTCGGAGTCGCGTTATTTTTGCCGATGACTATGGCAACTGTAGATATTCCTGCGGTTTCTCAGCGAAGGCGAAATTTGACCGAGAAAAGAAGACTTTTCGCGACGATAAATCGACGACTCGAGCTGTAAATATTATTCTTTAACTTGAGTGTTTACTTTTGATATAACTTATTATAACCGATATAACTTTATGGTGACTTACTTTACTGTAAAATATTGGATCTCCGAAAGCACGGATTTCGTTAACCTCTTAGGCACGGCTGAATTTCGCGCGGGCTGTTACTCTGTACGGCAGAGTTTCACGCGAATTACGCGTAAACGATACTGCACTGCAATGTGCGACACTGGCGTATCGTAAACAAAGGCTATATATTCTGTCTGTATATTATTGACACTGTTGCAAAACGTTGCGAGGGCAGAAAGGTGTGAAGCAAGACAAATGAAAACGATCGTTTAGTTCGAACAATGAGCGAAAGAGTCAGTAGAGCGAGCCACTATAGTGGCGCGTCGTAAATAAGACGACATTCGCGAAAGCCACTATAGTGACGCATCGTACCTAAGAGATTAAAAAGCGTAACGTAAAGAAACCATACGCGTGCATATATTACCGCGGTTATGTATCTGTCACTGCGAGCCAAATACCGCGGACGTTCCGATTACTGCGCGTCAAGGTTGACATAAACCATTTTCTTTTAAATGTACATGCACAGTTGCAATTCCTAGGATCAAGATATTCTCACTGCAGCACTTTACAAATTAGGCATCGGTACTCTGCGATCGAGCGTGTTCGCGCCGGCTCAACGAGAACTGCGCTGTATAGGTTAAGGTACGCGGTTCGGTAAAGCACCGCGGTAATGTGTACACGCATAGTAAAGAACTATGCGGCGAATACTGTGTTAGTAAATAATATTTGTGGGTAGATGATAGTGACAGTGTACGTCGATGTATATCTGCAACTAGGCTTCATTGAGCTAACCAGCAAATTTGATGAATTAAACATTTGACTTGCATGTCTTAAACGCTTCGCAGCGTTACTGCTAACATTATTTGTGATGTTCCTTTTGGCTGTTTACATAAATGGAGCTTTTGTAATCCACAGTGTTTTCTAACCCCTATTTTGAAATTTTTGCTATAAAATTATATCATTCAATTGTATTTTCACATGGCACTTTAACGTTTCATAGCGCGATCTCCGAGTGACCTCGAACCGAGAAATGCACCCGGTGTGATCGATAAAAGTACGTAAAAAAATCGATATCAAAAACAAATCGACGCAGCTAAAAGTGGTTAACTACGCTGGTCAAAAACATAAAAGAAAATTAGCGTTATTTATAGGATGACCCGATACGTTAACCCATTGGTATAATAATAATAAAAGGTACAATGGTACAACTAAATTGGTATAAATAAAAAAAAGTATGCCTTGTTTTTTCTCCAGTATACATAGATCGCAAAATAATCTACACATATTTGAATTCTCAAACGTGCATCTGCTTTCGATAAAAGCGTTTTCTCGATCGAAAAAGAGCCACGATTAAAAGAAAAACGGGCCCCGCGTTAGAGGCAGCATCGACTGACTGGCTCGGTGGGTCTCGTGTTAAGAAGCTGATCGGATCGGAAGATTTCTGCCCGTCGAGTAGTCGAGAGTGAGCAATCAGAGCCTAGGAAAAGGGCGAGAGGTGACGAGCTGTGGCCCCCCGCGAGGTTTCCCGCGCGGGGCACCCGCCTGTCGATAATGTCCCGCGGCCGGCTACCGACAAGGGCATCGGCTGAGCGTCGCGAAGGACCCCGCGGCTGGCCCCCCGTGCGAATCGGGCCCCCTGCCCTCGGCACGTCGACTCCTTGACTCCGGCTGTCCGGTCTCGCGGAAATAACGATACGCTCGCCCGGAAAGAGAAGAAAAAGGAACGGCGGCCCACTGGTGGCATGCACTCGTCACCCTAGTCCCGGGGGCCCGCAACAACGTCGCCGCGAGAACCGGCCGTACGAGTCGCCCCTGGTGGCCTCGCCGTGTGTGGGAACCTACGGATCTCGCGATTTTCCTTCGCCGCTCGAACAGAGCCTCTCGAGAATTCATCGAATCGAGGCACCGGTTGGCTGGCGCGCCGCGGTTCTTGCCGTGCAAAATGCTCGCTCGCTCGCTCGCTAGCTAAGCTAGCCGGCTTGCGTGCGCGCGCGAGCGCACGGCCATCGCTCTTCACAAAAGCTCTGCACCCTGTGTCTACCTTCTGCTCGATAAACAATATACCATCGTGTACGCGCCAACGGATCTACGAGTGCTCTCTCCCCCCTCCCCCTGCGCGCCACCATGCCGCCTCTTTTCTTTTTTTCCGGTGCACAATGCACCATCTTATGACATTTTTCGTGTTCGACCGTTGTCGTCGAGTGCTTAAGTGCTCGTTATGTGCGCGCCGCGTCAAGCTTTTGTGCTCCGTACCGTCGCAGCAACTGTTTTTCGGGCGTCGGTTAAGTGTGTCCGCGGCCCGAACGCCGCGCACCGAACGGCCCGTTGTTCCCGCTCGCGGCGAATTAGAATAACGGCGTGTAACCGGCGTGCAATCGCGCGCGGCTCGGCTCGGCTCGGCTGTTCCGTCACCGTCGATCCGCGCGCCGCGCCGCGCCGCTGAGTTTCGTCGATCGAGCCCGGCCTAACCGCGCGCCGCGCGCGTCGAGCGTCGAGACAACGGGGCAGGGGGGAGGAAAAGTATTGTCCAATCGCGAGCCCCGGCTGCGAGGGTGCCGCGCGCGAGCCGCTCGCCGAGCGAGATTAAACGCCTCTTTTTTAAATTAATTTTCGCCCGTCCGACGCTGCGAATTAAACCGGCTGCTGCGGAAATCCGATATGAACGGCGCGTCCGTTCGCTCTCGCTGCGGAAAAATCTGTTAACCACGGCTGGACGAGTAACCCTTTCGCGGATTGGTTTTCGGCGTCGGTGGCGATTAGGATAGTTGAAGGGAATAGTCGAGGTTATTCATTATTTTAAGTCGAGGTTATTTTAAGGCCAATCGTTGTGGAAGTAACTCGTCTGCGTTCTCTCTCTCTCTCTCTCTCTCTCTCTCTCTCTCTCTCTCTTTTATACAAAAATTACAATGTTTAATTTATTTAGATTTTTACGAATTTTTATATTGACCCTTTGCCTTACGATTTAATTTACAATAGCGCGCGCCCTAAACAATAACAAGGTCGTATAGATTTCGTGGGTCAGAGTTGATTAGAAAAGCTGAAGAAAATAGTCAAGATTAGTTAAGATTATTTATTGACAAGATTAACGCCAATCGTTGAAAGTGTTGTCACCTTTCTCTCTCTCTCTCTCTTATACAAAAATTGCAATATTTAATTTACTTAGATTTTTTTCATTTTTTAATATTAACCACTTCCCTTACGATTTAATTTACAACAGCACGCGCCATAAACAATAACAAGGTCGGCCACTCGTTGGCCGAGCGTTAAAAGTTCCGCAAATCGCAGACGTCTCACGATTTGTACATACATGTGAACGGTACAATTCACTTTAACGTTGCAACATGTCTGATAAATAATTACGATCAATTAATTAACACCAGATTTACGGAGCACAAAAAACAGCTGTTTTATATTAGTTTATAAAAGCAACAATAAGACATTTATTCTTTATTTTTAACAAGCGTTATTGCAACATTTAAGTAACCTCTAAATTGAACAAATAACCCATAAATGTATCCTTACGATACGAATAATCGTAAATGAGAAAATTAATAACAACAGTTTCATTCGTCATTTCCGAGCGAGCGTCGTGCTTGTAACCCGATCGGCTCTGCAACGTCTCCGAGACCTTTTATTTACATTTGGCAAGGCCGACCGTAACGTCTCTGACGTGCTTGTTGATGTTTGCCGGTCAGTGCAGCGCGTCTATGAAGCGACTTGTTTACGTTTGGCCCGGTCGAATTTTACCGCGTCTTTGACGCAACATTGCAAGCTAATGAGTTAACCCTTTGCACTCGAGTGGTAACACTGAGACACCACTAAAATTTGTGATATCACCTTTTAAGTTAATCTTGATATTAACAAAGTTTAGATGTGAAAAAATTATTAAGAGCGTAACTGTTGCGCGAGTCCCAAGAATCAATTTCATACGCATAAAATGTATTTTGTCATATAAAATAGAAATTGGTTAGAAAAATGATTTTGTATGTACAGTTAAATTAGTTTCGAGTGCAAAGGGTTAATATATGCTGGGACGAATAAATTTATTGAACAGTTTCTGGTCCATGTATTTTTATAATTTCCATAATTGTGAAATAATAATCGTCGAACCGGTCGTTCGACCGGAGATTTTACGCGGTTAGCGTCGACGCGAATCTTAATGTCCGTGCGAATCTCGACCGCAGGTCCTGTTCTCACGATATAAGGTCCGTTTCACAACGAATTCTTCGGAGATCCGTTCTCGAATAGACGCACCGCGCACACGGGATCGGAAGACGGCCTATTAAACGGCGAGTAACCAGCGACTCGGGCGACGGCTGATTTTCTCTCGAAACTTTTTCTGAACGGATTAGTCGAAATGGGAACGGCAGAGAGAGCGAGAGAGAGAGAGAGAGAGCGAAAAAGAAAGTCTCGGTCAGTAGGTGCCGCGTAGAAGTATTTTCCATCGTCTTCGAGCGATTTATTTCTGGAGGTCAGGCTCACCCACGCAAGGAGCCGGCGGGACGGGCGGGCCGGTGGGCGTGGCCCGGCGGCGGTAGGGTCGCCCGGAGGCGGAGCCACCCCCTCGCTCCGTGCAGCCAGCGATTTTTCCTCCCAGACGGCTACCCACACGCATGTCCTAGCGGTGGCGCGCGCGCGCGAGCTCGCGCGTGCGTGCGTGTGCGTCTCTGTGCGTGCACGCGACTTCTGCCGGCCGCTGTAACGTGTGCGTTACACCGTGACGTCGCAGGCTTGGATACGGGTCAGAGACAGTAGGCTTCGCCAGGTTTTCTTCGGCCGATCTCCGCGCGGAGTTAAACGATTTTTCTCATGATCGCGACATTGGGGCGGTGTGTTCGCAGTACAAGATTGACTTGTTCCTAGACCGTAGAACGAGCCGCGGCGGGTGACGTCATCAACATTCGGCAAGACGCTCCTGTGATTTTCTCTAGCTTCGCTTCGTTCTTGATATATCGTAAGTGACCCGCGGAACATTCGATCCGCACCGTTCACTCAAATCCGTTTCCATCGACTTTCTTTCTTTCTTTGTCCAAGCATGCATGTTCGTCTTTCTGCACGAGTTTCGGCGAGATTACCGGCAAATTCGAGATCCCGAGATCGGGATTCGAGAGGTTCCAGGACAGGAAGGTGCTCGGACGAACAAAAATACGTGGGAGATATTGGATACGTCGATTGTAGGTTATGTTGTGAAACAATTACGGTAGTTCGTATTTTATTAGATCGATCGAAGAACAATTTTCGTTTTAACAGAGAATTAGACCGATTGATTTTTTGATATTGTTTTTAAATGCATCTTTTCGTTTAGGTGGGATATCCTGTTGGCAGTGTACAAAAATGTTTAACGCTCGGACGAGCAACTACGACTAAGGTCGTGGGGTTCAAGCACAGAAATGTGTACAAATCTGGATCCGTGGCCAGCATTGTTACTAGTTTCGTCGAGGATTTGAAAACTCGCTGTTACTCGCGTTCTTGTTTAATTAATCGGCCGATGAACTATGATCGGTATTTTGGAAGCGGATAGATATCAGGGTAAGTTCGGAAGAGTTTGACAACTTTTTGAAAATAGAATCGTATTGCTGCGATTTTTCAGAATTTTATTGTATTCGTTAGATTACAGCAATGTCTAAATAATTAAACATATATATAAACAGTATTTTGCGTCGAATTAAAATATATGCTACCATTTTCAAGTAAAAAGCAAAAATACTGTAGGTGGACGATTTCACCAGCATCACTGGGTTAGAGCGACCACGAAAAATAACCTTGACTATAGCCTAAAAAAAGTATTATAAATAAAGAAAGTAATTCTTACGTTATCTTTTCTTTAGCTTCCCACATAAATCGTAAAAATTCTCATATTTGGAGCGTCCCTCGCGATACCAACGACCACACCTCGCGCGTTCAAGCCAGTCGTCACTTTTTGTGGTTTCGAAGTAGTCCTCTCTGCATCTCGCGCATTCATTTCGGTTCCATTCTTCCAACGACGCGTCGCTTCCTTGTAAAACTGGATTATCTCTGCTCGAGTCAAACGATCGTTCCAATTGTTTTCTACGTTTCTTTGCATCCTTCCCCCTTTTAATCGAAACATTCCCATGTTTCTTTATAGTTCCCTCGTTCCTCTTTGTCTCAACGTTCTCCGAACTGTTTACAACGTTTGCGAGTTGCCTGCAGCGTTTTCTGACCACGACGGTTGCACCCGTTTGTGGAAACACGGGCATCGTCTCGCTGAGCCAAACGGAATTCTTTGGAAATTAAGCTGTTCGCAACTCGAAAAGAGAGCGAATTCGCTTCGAAGAAAACCGGATAGAGGAAGAATAAAAATTTCGTCGACGGACGGAACAATTAACGCGGTCGAACTCTCCCGGATCGGCGCGATCGGTCTATACCAGAATTACGGGAGAGATCGACCGCATTTTTAATACAAAGTAGAAACGAATGCGCGCGCGTTGTCGAAGTTATACGGTAGTTTCACGCATAATGTATCCCTCGAAATTAAAACAGTGCAAATAAACTTACCTATCTGTCGATTACCGCGAAGAATATACATCGGCGAAAAAACTTTCGGATCCGCCTAAAGCTTCAAACGCAATCCGCAAGATCGGGATACAGTTTCGCGACGATCGCGATACGCGATCAACGATCGATTCGTTAAAGCGTCTTCCGACTTTTAGCGCGACGCCATATGGCGTCGTCGTTTCGAGATATTCACCGCGGCCGGTCTCTCCCGCCGGCCGAACTTCTCCCGGACTCACCCTATATATTTGATGTTCGAAACCGATTCACGATTTCCGTATTTCGAGCACGATAACGTTAACAACGTCCCCCTACAAGGCGAAATATTTTGCAACGAATTTCACCGAAAAGCAATTCGGTATCCCGATAAATTACGAATTCGTAAACGAGCACCAACGAAGAAGCTCCTTCGATCCCTTACCATTATCTTCGCAGTCGCTATAATTCGAATATTTTCGATCGTAATAATTTCTTAGATGAACATTTATCCCGCGTCAAGTTCGTTTCGACTGAACTAGACTTCATTGCTAGAAATCTCCGTCGCCGGTCATACTCGTCGAAGCACGACAAGGGGTGAAGTCGAAACTATTGTCACTTAGACTGTAATAGTATAATAGACTATAATAGAACTATAATATATAATATAGACTATAATAGACTATAATATATAATATAGACTATATAATATAATAGACTATAATAATATATAGACTATAATACACGGTCCCCAGAAAAATCATTGGCGTAGCAAGCAAGAACACAAACAGTTCGAATCGACGGCGATCGTCCCACACGATTCAATTCGAACACTTCAATTTTCGAAAAAAAGTCATACTCGTGAACGAGGATTCGAATCTCTAAACTCGGCCACGCGTAGAAAAAGACGATCCTGTCGGAAAGTAACCCTATCGAAGATATCGAAAGCAACCGCAGTTAATGCCGTTGGCTTTAATTTCGCTTTAATTTCGAAACGATCAGCCAGCGATCAGTTACGCGTGAATCCACCTCGATTCGGTCTCGAACGGGATACGTAGCTTTTAGATCGCGATCAGGATATTGAATAACGATCGAACGACGGGGACAACTATTGCTACCAACCAAGCGCTACCGGCGCCAGATCGTTGCGCGCACAGGTATCTTACGTATGACGTGTGTGCAAGCGAATATCGCGAATTCCGTCACGGTATGGATGGCAAAGGCAGCCCAGCCCGGCGCTGCAATTACCTGCAGGGCGAGGGAGTCAAGTAGCAATATCTGGACCCGTTATCCAGTTCGGTTATCCCGGCTGGAATGCTTTGTGTCGCCCCGGCAATCTGCATTTCCCTACCTATCCGAATGGAGGTCTATGAGACCTCCGCGGCATGATTTCAAATGAAATCGACTCTTTGTCCCCGGCCCGGAAATTTCCAATTCAATAACGGCCGCGCGTGAGCGGCGGCCGGGGGGAGGGGGGGGGGTGGTGCGGGCGACCGGCAATCGTCGATGCGGATTGAACGTCTCGCGGAAAAAGTTTCTCGCCCCGAACCTCCCCCTTCCCCACCTCATCCCCGCCCCCTCTCGCCGCCGTACCGGAAGCTTAAAACAACCGTTCGGAAAGGTTTGCGCGCGTTTGACCGAGATATTTTAGCTTCGAGATCTCGTTTAACGAGATGCCGGCGCGCGACTCTTCCGCGTTCGCGGCGACCGAAACGGCTGGAAATACGGCGATGTCTGTCTAACCGACGCGAGGATTGCGCAGAAAAATTTATAATAATGTAATAAATAATATAATATTGTGTCGTAGTTCGAGCGTGCAATTATCTTAAATGTTATTAAATAATACGGTATTAGAATTTGAGAACGTTACAGTGATTTCTCTCTAATTCGCGCTCGGATTGCGCACAGAAATTGACAATTTCGGAAGAGGAGACACGATATTATTCGAGCCTTGCGGCTCGTTTTTATAGTTGTTGACAATTCGTGGATATATTAAAATATAATAGATATAATTATATAAATAATATATATGTAAGATGTCCCAAAAATGTCTCGTAATCTGGAAATGGCGGGTTCCTCGGATCGTTTGAAGCAACTTCTTCCTGTACAAAAATTTTCTCCGAAGCACCGTTAACGAGTTATCAACGAAAAACAGTGACCAATAAGAATCGAGTACGGCTGACGCGAGGCGGCCCAGCCAACCGGCGCGCGAAGCCCAGTTCCGCTCGTTGGCTCGGTCGCCTCGCGCCAGCCGAGCTCGCCTCTCATTGGTCACTGTTTTTCGTTGATAACTCGTTAACGGTGCCTCGGAGAACATTTTTGTAAAGGAAAAAGTTGCTTCGAATGACCCGAGG